GCATCCTTGCTCCTAGTAGCGATGCCAGGAGCCCCTAGTTGCTTCTTGCTCCTAGTAGTAAGGCCAGGAGCCCCTAATAGCGTCCTTGCTCCTAGTAGCGATGCCAGGAGCCCCTAGTAGCGTCCTTGCTACAATATAGTACAATATGTCCAAGCACGTGTTCTTTCACTCCGACAAACACCTCACAGACGGGTCATTAGCGGCGAGGAACAATGGCCTCAAGGGCCTGTGCGTCGCCGCTGGTGCACACAGAGATTCCGGGGCCATGGCGAAAATTGCGCCCGAAAGATCTTGACAGCAACCAGCTGCAGCAACATCTTATGCAACAAAAGAACCTAGTCCGTACTTTGGCTATGTGTTTGGCCTTGGTCAAAACAGGGCAGTTCACAAACACCTCAAATTCCCATCATACAATCCTTGCATATGGAAAACTAGTTTGGCAACGCGATGCCAAACTGAATCCAGGCTTGGAACGTTCTCTGGAACGACTTCGCTCTTTCTCACGCCCTAGGCACAAAGAAAACCGCTAGAGCAGTGCAAAACACGCTAAACGAGTATTGAAGAAGGAAAAAATCGTGTTGAGATTATTGAGAGGTTCCGGGCTTGCTTCCCGCCCAGGGCGGTCATGACGATTTCGTGAGCGACTGCGGCGTCGAGAGCGGCTACGCCTTAGACCGAGGAGCGCTGCAGGACACTAGGAGTCGCTAGGAGACGAAACAAGCGCAACCAGAACCCGTGGTCTGTGGGTCTTAAGTGCAAAAAGCCTTGTTCAGGTTGCGACCGCTTCCTTGAGCGACTTCTAACACCACCTCAAAGTGAAAAAAAAAACAGGTGGTCAGATTGCAAATTCTACACTCAGGTCAGATTCATTCACACTGCTCAGGTTCCATCGTCTGTCGCGATGGCCACGGTCTCCGGCAAACTGCCTGCAGCGGGCCCAGCGTGTAACAGACTAATCACCTGGCCACAGCTACATCGCCCGAGTTGACCCAGCCTCATTCCACCTTCTTCGAAATCGTTGGTCTTGCTAAGTTCCCCCAAATCACTGTTGCCAACCTCAGCTGCAGACTTGAATACAATCTCGAGAAAAACAGTTTACTTGGCATTACAGCATGCAAAGCCGTTTAGGATGCTGCTCGTCTGCCGCCTCCTGATCGCCAATTTGCCTTGACCATCATGCCTTGCAAGAAGACCTGCATTGTATGGACCAGGGTGTGTGAAATCTGGAGGGCTGCTGTCATCGCTACTAGGAGCAAGGACGCTACTAGGACGATTCTCCGCACCTGTCCGGCATCACAAGCCTCCTTCGCCGCTGCAGCTGCCTCCCCAGCGGCAAAGCGCACGGAGGCCTGGTGCATTGACCAAGACAAGACGACACGCAGCGCTCGGCTGTCAGAGCCTTGTCGATGCCACGCCGGTCGACGGGGGGCACCTCATGGCAACAAGGATCAAGACTCAGCGTGCCACAAGGACCATGATAGCCCATGATAGTCCCTGAGCCCTTCCAAATACATAAGCTAAAACAAGTTGAATGCCTCCGGGGGCACAGCCGCTACTTGGCGACTTTTAACGGATGGAGTGAATGAAAGGTACAGCAGCTGCTTGTGACGTAGGGAAGGCGCACGCACGCAGGGCTTGTGCATGTGTAATCATGTGTGCATGTACACGCGCCCCCGCCCCCTAATTAGGGAAAACAGAAACTTGCCAGGAGTATGTTATCCAAAAGGACTTTGTAGCTCTAGGTTGCCTCTAGTTTTGAGACCCGGTCAATTTGCATGTCTGACATTGTCTGACTTTCTGCTCGGCGTTTTGCTGAATTGTCCTGAGGCTGAATCCCAGCAGGAGACCACATCACCAAAGTTCTGAAAAACACCTGCATGGGCCCATGGCATGGCAGGGGCGTGGAATGGCAGCACGACTTGTGGCAAGTATCAATCTGGTGGACTCGTGGACTTAATGTTGAGTGTCCCAGCATGACCAGTTGCAACGATTCCAACTATTTCACGCGGCTAAGACATGTCATGGAGGCTCCAACTGTCATAGTTAGTAAACACACGTCATGGAGGCTCCAACGGACCATAGTTTTTTTTTCAGAATACTATGTGTATATATATATATGTGTGTGTATATATATACATATATATATGTGTGTGTATACATCTTACAAACCAATAGTCACCCTCGCAGTATGGCAGCACATCGGCTCAATGGCTGTGCCTTTCAACGCGACCCGGCTGGAGTGCTCAGTGATGCCTTCAACCACTTCCAGCTCCACCTGGGAAAATTGACTTAAGACACTGCATACTGCATGCCCAAAATCGAGGTCTGAGATCATGTCTGTGACATCCTCCCATTCCTCGCTGCTCCATACTGATCACTTGGTCACACACGCCTTTGATCGGCGGCATCACTCTGGCTCCTCAAGCAGTGAAGAAGTACTCGCCCTTGTTCATTATATAATTTGCTCTCTTCCGGCATGACAGGTGTCCAGCATCTTGTCCAGTGCGCAGTTCGCCTTTTCTTTGGCAAAAGTAAAAACATGCACGCCCTTTTCCGCGCCGAAAATTGACTACCTGTCCATCTGGTACGACAAGGATCCACATCTGTTGGGCCTGTCAAGAGGTTAACCTTGGACAATGGTCATGCCATCAGCTTTGGCAGCCCATTGCCTCATGAAAAATGTATGTATGTACATTCGCGCAATACAATAACAGTCAGCATTTCAGCCAGAGAGCAGCTCTAAGAGGCCTGACGGGATCAAGAAAAGCATCACAGAATAATCCAGAGCCCTTGGTGCAAAGAAGAAGGCATGAGAGCCACACACCAACACTTTCCTGTGCAAAACCATGCTCAATGCCTGCTCTTGGACAGAGACCTTTTCTATCTCCAGCTTCATCAGCTGCAACTCTATTGCAAAGCCTGAGCAAAACTACAAGTTTATCAGTCCATCTATCTTATCTCATATGGACTGGCAATGGTCGACGACAGCCAACGGTAGCAACAAACCAACCTTATAACATTGTGCCAATTCCGCACAAGGGATTGTAAATGAATACAGACGAGATTCGCATGACTTCTCCTCCCTAGCGTCCACTGTGTTAGTGGTTCTGGAAGGACTGGCTTTCCTGAAAGCGCTCGAGACTTTCCATCTCCGCTCCTCTGCATGTGGCTTCACTTGTGCCAAGTTGCTGATGGTGTATTTCAGCCTCATGAAAGGGACAAGCCGCTGCAAGCTGCGTTCCGCGGCTGCATGCTGGGAGGCTTGCTTCTGCTGCATGCCTCTGTTTTGCTAAAGGGTCGAAGCATAGAAACTTTCAAAGACTTTTCCTGCACCAGTAAAACCATAATTGACGGTGGGCCGTGTCCCAGCTTTTCCCATCATTGATCTTATTTCAGTATATAGACACATGTCTCCGCAAATTGCCACTTGTAGCCAGTCGTATCATTACATGGCGCACCGGGGTCTAAACCTACAGTAATTGGCATGGAAACCTTCTGGAATGGTACGCCTCTTGACGTGAAAGCAGCTACATCCAGGCCTCTGAGCCTCATTGTGATACCAAATGCTTGATCGATATTGTCCTGACACAGGTCACAGTGCCCAAGCATGTCACATGTGCTTAGAGATGGGCAGCATTGCAAAGCATCTTGAACCTCTACGACTCTGTGATCCAGCTACACCCGCTGCGCCTTTCTCGCTGGGCTTGGGCCGGTGGTTCTTCCAAAACATCTCCAGCAATTCCTGGGCACCAAGTTCGGCATCACTTTCTGCCGAAGTGGGAGTTTCACGGTCGACCCGTGCAAACATGAATTGGTCCCTGCAACACTGCAATGCAGCTGGCCTCGTACGACACCACTCCAGGGTCATACTCGACACGCACGGACTCCACATGTCCTGAGCTCTTGTTGGCACAGGGTGCCGGCGTTTGAAACAGCCATGTTTCATCTGTAGGGCTAAGACCATGGCACAGAGCAAGCTGCAAGCTGTTCGAATCCTCTACATACGGTAGTTTTGAAGAGCTTATATATATATATATGTTCTCACGAAGCAGTCCGATGTCAACATCCAAAAAATATTGTTTTAAAAAATGATCAAATGAATATCAACCAATCCGCACCAGGGTGCCATCACCATTGCACACCGAGCGGTATGTTGGCCGCGCTGACCTTGGCGTAGTTAGGTAATTGAGGTCTCTTGCACCGTGTCATCGCAAAAGTTTGAGAACACATTTAGCAAACCAAATGAAACATATGCCGTAAATATGAGCATCCTAGAAGCTACTAGTAGCAAAGGGCATCGCTACTAGGAGCAAGGAGGGTACTGGCATACAGTGGCAAGAACGCGCCGCTACTACTAACATCCTCTGGATGTGTGCAGCTCCGTGCCCCCACACCTGCCACCGGTGTATCCAGCAATGGCACGGTGCACGCCAGGTGTTTGGGCGAAAAGGCGTTGAGGCACCCAGAATCATCCTGAACGAACCAGAAGCAATGTCAACATATGTACGTAACTGGCTATGATGCAGAAGGAGCCACTTCGCTCCTCATTGTGCCAAGAATCCCATGGAGAAAGTGGCCACTTCCAGTTTCGGAGAAAACTCCTCCATGCCACCACGTCCAAGGCGGTACTGCTACGGCTGGCTCGGACAAAATGTTGCTGCGGAACCATGCCACCACTCTGCGGAGGCTGCACCATGTCATGCTGAAAACACCAAAGGTGAGAGCACCTACTAAGCTGCTCTAGCTACTCTTGAAGATTCTCTCGGTGTCTTGCCAGCTGCCAGCAGGCGCCAAATCAAGGGATCGAGCGGCCGATTGGAGTTGGTGACCAGTTGCTGGTCGGTGGGAATTGGTGCAGCTTGTCACGTCTGTAGGGTGTCAGGTGCCAATGTGCAGGCTGTGGATGTGTGAAAGGACAAGGCTAATGGTTGGTGAGTGAGTTTGGGGTGCTCCCTGGCTCTCGCGCAGCTTGTTCGTCAGAAACTGCCATCGTAAGTAAGTACAAATCTATAAAGAATAAAGATCAAAAAACATCCAAAATCGTTAGCCGTCTTATCCGCAACTGGTGTCTCTGGCCCTAGTCGGGTTTCTTTCCGCAGGCGTCCGATACATCAGACACGGCCTCTAGAGAACAAACTGCCTACAGCCTTGAGAACAAACGGCAACATCACTCGCTCAGATCTTTAGCTGCAGCCAACAACTCATTGGCACAATGTTTACAGTATATATATATATATGTGTGTGTGACTATATGTGTATGTGTGCGTGTGTGCAGCTCTCTTCACAACAGCATTCGGTTCCAACTGAGGTTAAACTGTGTACATAGGCCAACTTGCGGGGATTGCTTCCATTTGGTGCCGTGATCAGACTCCGCTCTGCGGCCCAAGGTGCGCCTATTTCAAAACTCAGATCGTTGCCTTTCGGCTTTCACTCACAGCGTCCAGGTGACCCAGCAGAGGATCAAAGGAAAGTACCTGGCTAAATCCAGGTCCGCGAGAAGCGATGTTTCACAGCAATATAGGGATGTGCCACGGCCTCGCCGGTGCTCAATCCTGCGCCCGGTGACCACATCGTTGTGCGACACCTGCGAAAGGCGGAGATGGACGACTTCGCATGCGACGTCTCCGAGCGGCTGGCACAAAGTGCTGGCAAAAGCGCATCAGTGCTGCCCAGAGCTTTTCGGCCCCAGAGGGCCCACCACCTGGCATGCAACATCGATATATCACCGGACCATACACCATCAAAAAGAGAAGGTGAAGCAAAAAAGTAATATGAACAAAAAAAACTATATAAGGGCCTGTAGTCAAGGGGGCCTGATTGATGGAAGGGGTATAAACACTTTCCGTTTTGCTTCTCTTTTCTCTGTTCTTTTCATCTCTGTTTAATTCTTTTTAAGCAAAAACCTCTTGGAATCTGCTCCCAGCTGACGAGCCTGGGCGGGAAGAAGCCCTCAAAGTCGCCCATGGCTTCAGAGCCTGGCTCCTGAGGTCACATGAAAATATCCCCTGCCTCTGCTTCAGAATATGTCACAATCATAAAGGTTTGCTCCGTTCGTAGCGATGCCAGGAGCCCCTAGTAGCGTCCTTGCTCCTAGTAGTAAGGTCAGGAGCCCCTAGTAGCTTCTTGTTCAAAAGTTCCTCAAAAGAATGTTCAGAAAATAAAATTGCAAATAGCAATCCTGTTGAAGAGTTTGTACACGTCCTCTTCGTATTTCTGACTATTCATGATGTCAGCTCATCTAAAGCCAAAAATACGATCCTACAAACTTATTATATATATATATAATAGTCTGCATATGTGAAAATATCAACTCTTCCCGTTCTACATTACAAATAGAACAGTTTTTTTGCTTGATTCTATCAATAACAATAAGAAATCAACAATAACAAGTTGAATCCAAAACAAACTATATGAATTATTTGCATGCATATATATAGAGAGAGAGAGATTTAGATATCCAACGTAATATATACCGTATATACACCTTAAAACGTAATGACTGAAAGCAGGATCAAAACTTCAATCAAGGCCATGGCTGCCATTGGCAATCGAAATGCCCGATCAGCATGGCGTGCTGCCTGGCTTCATCAGGCCATGACTGATTGCGCTTGGAAGATTTGCTCTGGGCCGCTCTCGATTTCCAAGCTTGTCGGCAATCATTGCCTGTTCCGCAGATGCCCCAGTAGTGACCAAAGCCTCATGCCAGGACACAAACACCCCTCCTCTTGAGCAAAATCACAACGAAATAGAAATGAAGAAAAGGAAAAAAGTGCTAGTAACAGGTGCCACGCTACTAGGAACAGGTGCCACGCTACTAGTAACAAGTGCCTTACTAGGAACAAGTAGCTACTAGTAACAAGTGCCACGCTAGTAGTAACAGGTGCCTTACTAGTAGTA